CATGAAGGTGGACCCAGACCTTGAGCTGTGTAAAAGGCCCCCCAAAAATGGAGCTGCTTCCCGTTCTCCCAGAATATTGATTTTTGTGACCACAGTTACAAACAGCCTCCAGAGAGCCTGTTCTACACCAGACTAGTGGAGCCAGACTGCAGCTAGAGCCCATCATCATCCTCATCTCGTTGTAATAAACAATCTAGTAGGCAATCTAGTATATTATTCGTGGCACTAATCGCTAATTTACCTCACATTAAAGAAACACTATAGTCCCCAGACCCACTGCAGCTTAATGTAGTTGCTCTGGTGTCTATAGCCTGTCCCTGCATGCCTTATAATGTAAACACGGTGGCACTGCAGCACTGGCATTAGTTAACATGGCAGATCATATGGGTGGAACATTGTGATGTCACATGGGGGGGGGGGGCGGCAAACTTTACTTTTGCTTAGGGCGGCAAAAATCCTTGCACCGGCCCTGTACACACATGCTGCTGTATACACACACAGGCTGCTGAATACATACACACAGACTACTGAATACACACACAGACTGCTGAATACAGACAGGCTGCTGAGTACACACACAGACTGCTAAATGAATAAACAGACTGTGTAATACACACACACACACAAACTGCTGAATACATGCAGACTGCGGAATACATACACACATACTGCTAAACATACACACACAGACTGCTGAAAACACACACACAGACTGCTGAATACATACACATACTGCTGAAAACACACAGACAAACAGCAGTGAGGGGTGCTGTGTGTGTGTGTGTGTGTGAGGGGTGCTGTGTGTGAGTGTGAGGGGTGCTGTGTGTATGAGAGAGGTGCTGTGTGTGTAAGGGATGCTGTGTGTGTGAAGGGTGCTGTGAGTGTGAGAGGGGTCCTGTATATGAGTGGGAGGGGTGCTGTGTGAGGGGTGGTCTGTGAGTGTGTGGGGAAGGGGTGCATAGGAAAAAGGGATTTTTTTGTTTCTTATTTTTATTTAAAATTAATAAAAACATTTTTAAAAAGCTTAATGTCCCCTCTCAGTGCCCCCACGATTCTTCTTACCTTTGGTGGGAGGGGGGGTCACTGCCAACCCTAGTGATCTGGTGGTGAGTAATGATCTATCCTGCAGGTCCTCTGGCTGCAGGCTATCTTCACACCTCCCAGGAGCAGAATGCAACGTGTGGCAATGCTCGGACCAGCATGCTTGCGGGAGGAACTGCCTCCCAGGTCCTTTCTCCCTCTCTTCTTCCCTCTCTTTAACAAATGACCTCCGGCCCAAGGGAGACCAAACCAAGCAAGCAGGGTGGGTTTTTCCCACATAAATCTCAGAAAAGCAAGACTTGCTTTTCCCACAGAAATCTCACTTTCACAGTGCTCTCACTACTGCAAAGGATTCTGGGTAGGCGTATGCAAATGAACTCAACAAAGAACCACATTTTTGCCTCATAATACCATGTTATACATGGATTCCTTGGAGTATGTGTCTGCTGTATACAACAGCTTTGAAATGCAACTCAAGGAACAGGAGCAAAGCCAATGAACAACTCATGGACAGCTGTTTCGTTGTTAATGCAACTCATCAGCATGAGATTGGTTACTGGCTTGCTATGGAGGCTAATGGGTTTTCATCCACACTTTTTCCCCCATCACAACTCTTTTGGTATGTATATATATATATATATATATATATGTGTGTGTGTGTGTATGTTAGGGAAAATTAAACTGGCCAAATTTGGCGTTAACTCCTTCAGGTCCAAGTTTTTTTAAAGAAACGCTGTAGGGTCAGGAAGACAAACATCTATTCCTGACCCTATAATGTTAAAACACCATCTAGCCCTCCCCCCCATGTACCCATAAATATAGTAAAATATCTATATTTTTTATTCTTTATTTTTGCAGAGATGGTTGTCAATAACCAAATAAATTACAAGGATGCAAGCGGATACATATAAAAGTCAAACATTCAGAATAAAGACATCACTACATGGCCATATTCAAGAGTAGCATACAATACAAATGACTAGAATAATGATCACTGCACTTAGTGTATGCACCACAAATATAGTAAAATCTTACTTTTATTCCAGTCTGCTGGTGCTGGCTCTGTCCCTGATCTGCCTGCTTCGCTGATATCATCAGAAGTGGTGATCTAAGCCAATCACAATGCTTTTCCATAGGAAAGCATTGGATTGGCTGAGCTTGTCAAGGAGGCAAATCAGGTGCAGAGCCAGCACAAGTCAAACACAGCCTGGCCAATAAGTAAATCCTCCCCTCTCTCCTACCACTCCTTTTTGAACTCACTGAATATGGCTAGCCATCACTACTTCTACTCTTAAACCTCTAGGTACTAAGTCTTTTTTGAATAACATTTTGTTATGGGGAAATGTCCCATCTAATTTAAATCTGTTTTCTAAACAGTTTAGTTAGGTTATTAAATGCTGTGCCTAGATAGTAACTGGTTCTCAGAGAAAATAGACTAACCATCCTAACAACACAAATTAGTATATTTTTTGGCTGGAAGAAAGCCGTAAAACACAGGTAAATGGAGCAGTGACTATTACTTAGTGCCAGAAACACCAATAACGACAAACAAAAACTAAATAGGAGTCACTAATCACTTAATCACTATGCAGGCTTAACTCACAACTTCAATAAAACACTATAAATATGAAAACTGGATACTGTGCAAACTAAACCAGACAAAATGAAATAGGGGAAAATAAAATAAATGAAATAACTTTATTGAGAAATTAAATTTAAAAAAGGGAGTAAATAAGGAGACGGAAAATTTGAAAAAATAAACATATTTATATATTTTTTTCAAGAGTCTTCATACACTTACAATATACAAAATTCCTAACATAATTCACTCTGAAAAGGGCAAAAGGTATTATGCCTAAACTACATGACAAGTAGGTCATTGGTGACCAGGAATTAATTGCTAATTGGAGGGATCTTTAAATACCTTGTTTCTCACCATTTACCCTGATGAAGGTGCATTATTGAGCACCAAAACACACATCTGACGTTTCCTTTATCACTCTCACTTGCACTCACTTGCACAATGGGTAGCACAGTTGTTAGCAGTGGCGGAACTACCGCGGTCGCAGGAGTCACTCCAGGGGGCCCGGCCGCTCTGCGGACCCCTGCGTCCGAGGTGCCCACCAGCCATGTGTAAACGCTGGGGCCGCATTAAAGGGGCCCATCGGATGGCTCATGCTGTTAGGGCCTTAAACAGCGCAACCGGGCCTCCTGTGATGATGTCAGAGCTGGGAGGAAGTGACTGACCCAGTCACTCCTCCCAGCTTACACAGAGCCCGCACGGGTGGAAGGAGAGGAGGGAGTCAGAGTGGGAACTCTGACTCCCATTAGGCTGAGCCACTGGACCCCAGTGAAAGTCACCCTCCTGCACCTAAAAGGTAGGAAACAGGAGGGTGACTTAAACATTTTGCATTGCATTGTGTGTTAGTGTATGTGTGTCTGTATGTATGTGTCTGTTGTGTGTGTGTGTATCTGTATGTATGTGTCTCTGTGTGTGTGTGTCTGTATGTGTCTCTGTCTGTATGTATGTGTGTGTATGTGTGTGTGTGTGTATGTTTGTGTTTCTGTATGTGTGTGTCTGCATGTGTATCTGTTTGTCTGCATGCATGGGGGTGCAGGGACGTGTGGGAGGGTGGGGAAATATAGGGGCAGAATTTAGTGCCTACTCTGGTTTTAGGGTTAATCGTATTAAGTATGAGGCATTAAATGTGACTCTCAAGATACTGTGCAACAACTCACAGCATTTTATGACTCCACTTCCAAAGCAGCTCTTTGCAAGATGGCCTCAATCTAACATTTCTTTCTTTGACCCACCTCCTGTAGTTTTTATATCTGCTCAGGTCTCTCTCCTTCTCTCATTGATAGTGTCTGATCTAAGATTCAATCTGGGTGTGGTATATAGAATCACTAAGGATATATTTAGGTCCATTTATCTCCTTAATTTTGTATGCTCACACATGAGAGACTTTTCAGAAGTAGAGACTCAGAAAGAGCCAGAGTGTTCAGAAAATTAGCACAATGCCTAGAGACACCATTACCCGTGGGTTACTATACTAAAATGAGAACATCCACCTCCCTACCAAAGCATGCTCATAAGGTTAATTTAATGGTTTAAACCAGTGATTCCCAAACTTTTTAGGTTCAAGGCACCATTAATATTTCAGTATTTTTCCAAGGCACCCCAAGTCAAAATTTCTAGGTTGTATATCTGTACAGCGCTGCGGCAATTACTGGCGCTGTAGTGTTATGTACAGTGTTGGTGTTTGAAGGTGTGCTTGTATATAGTTATTTTATTTGAATACAGGGGTGTGTTTGTATGTAATGTTTGCGTTTGATTGCATGGGTGTGTCTGAAGGTTCACTTTTAAATGTGGATGTACATTTGTGTGAAGTATTTGTGTTTGAGTGAAGGGGTGTGTTTGTATATATATATATTTTTTTAGTTTGAATGCAGGAGTGTGTTTGTTTGTAATATTTTTGTTAGATTGCAGGAGTGTGCTTGTACGTTGTGCTGGTGTTTGACTGCTTGGATGTATGCACATACACTACCACATGCATACATACATACTTACACAGATATTCATGCACATAAATACACTGACACATACACACACATTTATATAGATACCGACACATACACACATATAGATACACACCAACATATAAACACAACCATTTATACATGCCCACACCATAACACAGATACATACACTAACATAAAAACACACACCCTGACACACAGATGAACATGCACAGATGTGTGCGTGTGTGTGTATACACACACACACACACACACACACTCATACTCACTCACACACACACACACACACACTCAAACACACACACATACACTCATACATACAAAAATCCATACCCACACATACTCACACACACTCATACACACACACAAACACACTCTCTCACACACACACTCATACATACACACACTGAGTTTGAGTGTGTGTGTGTATGAGTGTGTGTGGGTGTGTGTGTGTGAGTGTGCGCACACACACACTCAAACTCATACACACACTCATACTCATACACATACACATACGCACATACTCATACGCACACACAAACTCATACACACACTCAAACTCATGCACAAACTCATGCACACACTCATACTCACACTCAAACTCACACTCATACACACACACACACTCATACATACACTCATACTCACACACAGTCAAATTCATACACGTACACACACCCATACTCACATACTCAAACTCATACACACACACACACACTCATTCTCACTCACACACATTCAAACTCATACACACACTCATACTCACACACACTCAAACTCATACACACACTTATACTCATACACATACACATACTCATACACATACACACACTCATACTCACACACACACACAAACTCATACACACTCACACACACACACACACACACTCATACACATAAACACACTCACACACATACAAGTGATTTTTGTTCCCTCAAGCTTACCTTATGTGCCTGGAGGGTTGCTTGGAGTTCTACTACTGTGGGAGTGAGGGGTCTGGAGCTCTTTGTGCTCCTCTCCCCTCACGCTGTGGCTGCCTCCTTTCAATCCCGCGCCATCTCTCTGCATGACGCTGGGAGGAAGTGACAGTCTGTCACATCCTCCCTCCCAGCCGGCCGACATCACAGAGGTCCAGTCGCAGTCTTAAAGGACCGTGGCACCTTACTGGACCACTGTTCAGTAGTAATGTTATAGCACCGGGGAATCATTCTGCGGCACACAGTTTGGGAACCGCTGGCTTAAACAATGCTTTTCATGAGTTAATTTTTAGCACCGACTTGGCTTTCACCCCATTATGCCTAGCACAGGTCAATATTAGAATTTTGTACTTGGTTAAATTAACTACAGCAATTAAAAAAGTTATGGAACAATTCCTAGACATACAATATAGACTGGATGAAAGCTTTTTCCTAATCAGGAATTCCATGATTTCTGTGGAATCCTCAGACACATTAAGGGAAGAGGTGTAGTGGGGCTTGCTTGTCAGATTTATTAAATCTGTCCCTAAGGAGCTATTTTCTTTTCTTGTTTATTTTGCTCTTTCTCTCTTCCATCTTTTTTTCTCTCCCCTCTACAACCTTCTCATTCTCATTTTCTCTCTTCTCACAGCTTTCCATAATGGGAACATTCACCATGCAGTTAAATGTTTGAAAAGGCTTTTTAATACAAACTTTAATTGCAAAAAATGACCCTGTATTGAAACACTTTGCTTATTGATCTGAGGCTGGCTTATGGAAATAGGAGTTACAGTTCTCTATCAATTAGAAAGATGCGTTTTGGTTACTATTGCCCTAGAATGTCTCCTTACCAAAATTCACAAATAATCATATATTCTGAACGGAGACATTATGCTGATTCCACTGGGACTTCATTTGTATTTAATTGTGTGAGGTTTACATACAGCAGCTCAAATATTCCCTGAGCTCTGCAGGTTTTAATAACGCTGGTCATCCACTGAATAATGCCAACTGCTTTCTTTTCTATTTTGTTTCCTTTCTATATCTAGAGTAGTACAGTGCTGGATTATGAGACTATTGGGATTCATACTGTCAAGTAGGGCTGCCATCAGAAATCTTGGGGCCTCTTACACGGTTTAAGACCTGGGCCTCCGGTGTGTATGTGTGTAGAGTGGATGCAGAGTATATGTATAGTGAATGCAGGGAGTGTGTGCATATTGGATGCAGTGTTCGTATAGTGAATGTAGAAGGTGTATTGCAGTGTGTGTGTGTCTGTAGTGGATGAAGTGTGTGTATAGTAGTTGTAGAGGGAGTGTATAGTGGATGCAGTCTGTGTAAAGTGGACGCGGGGGGGTGTATAGCGAATGCAATGTGTGTAGTGGCTGAAATGTGTGTATAGTGGATGACGTGTGTTTTGTGTAGTGGATGCAGTATGTGTTCATATATTGGATGCAGTGTATGTGTAAAGTAGATGCAGTGTGTTTTTACTGGATGTAGTATGTCTAATGGAGGCAGTATGTGCATAGAGGATGCAGTAAGTATGTAGAGGATGCAGTGGTGTGTAGTGGATTCCGAGTGTGTTTGCTTAATGCATTCAGAGTGTGTGTGTAGTGAATGCAGTGTTAATCAAGCCCTGGAGTAATATTGTGTTGTTGGTGTTTTTTTTTTTTTTTTTCCAATTGTCCAATTACCGTTTGACACACACGTACAATCTATTATTTGCTTTATTTAAAAAGGGAGCAGCTATGGAGCTAAATGCTTGCCTCCTAAGTGTCCCATTTGTTTTGTCCTAACTTCCGTATTTTGTAGGACGCTAATATTGTTAGTGTGTCTAAGTGTATAACAGAACTTCAGAATACAGTAATGTGTTTTTAAACTACAATACATGTGCTAAGAAATCAGTCTGTGTAAATAAGATACATGTTTATTGTTTTAAATTACATTTTAGTTTCCATCATATGTTTCGTGTGTCCAGCTGATGCCTTCCCTTCTGTTTTAATTTAGAAGGTAAACTTGAAATTCCCTTTTTGTGGCTTTTGGCAATGGGTGGGAGGTCTCTGGTGGAAGCTCCTGAGCCAATGGCATCCTTGTTTAGTGAATGAACAAGATCCAAGGTTTGGGTAGGGACCTCAAAAGGAAGTTTTGCCAATGGCTTGGAGAGAACTTTCTCCACAGAAGCTGCCACTGCAGCATTAATCATGGACTGGAAGTTCTGGGTTTGTGGGGTTGGTGAGCCACTCGTGGTGGTGCATGGAACGTCCTGTGGTGTAATCACAGTTGGTTCAGTTCCCTGCAGGCTCACCCATATACAACAGCAGGGAGCTCACCCCTACGTGCAGCTGTACCAGACAGTCTGCACAAACAGGCACCAGAAAAGTTCAGTTGTATACATTGTATACCACCCTCTTTAGCTTGTCAGTGGTATTATTTGGTGACAATGGCATAAAGTACATAAATTAAGTAAAATGAAATTCTTGATATGATAGATAGTGATGTCCCGAACTGTTCGCCGAACGGTTCGCCACGAACGGTTCGCCACGGACTCATCATTGAGTAAACTTTGACTCTGTACCTCACAGTCAGCAGACACATTCCAGCCAATGAGCAGCAGACCCTCCCTCCCAGACCCTCCCACCTCCTGGACAGCATCCATTGTGAAGCTGCATTCTTAGTGAGCTGTCCAGGAGATGGGAGGGTCTGGGAGGGAGGGTCTGCTGCTGATTGGCTGGAATGTGTCTGCTGACTGTGAGGTACAGGGTCAAAGTTTACTCAATGATGAATCCGTGGCGAACCGTTCGTGGCGAGCCGTTCGGCAAACATTTTGGGACAGCTCTAATGATAGTGTGAACCACTGAGGTATACAGGTAAAGGTGCCTTTAATGACTTATTATTAGGAGGACTCACCACTTGAAACAAGCAGCTAATATGTGCATGAGATTGGTACACTTAATATGGAGAGACGCTGGTAGTTTCCAGTAGTAAAGGGGGCTCACCCCTATAGAATACCATTAGGCACGTGGCCAGGATGGGAAATATGGGGGATCACCCCAAGTGTAGTAGGGAGCTCACCCATGCGCACAGTTGCACCAGACAAACTGCACCATCAGACGCTCTATATGGCAGTAAACTTCTACATGTAAGTTTAGTAAAAACTTTGCAATGGAAATAATAACTGTACAGTTGATAGAGCCCAAATAAATCCTTCCTATGTAGTAATAAAGGAAAGCACCTGAGAGAGATCCTGTTGTATATGCAGTGTAGCAGTGGATCTAAGAGTGCAGGCGGCCTAGCAAGTGAGAGGTATCAGTGTAACAGGAGGATTCCTTGTGTTGACAGGCAGTATGAAGCAGTGTGACAGTTCTATATTGTGTCCTGGTACAGATTTTTTACTGTAAAAACACTGTGGACACTAGCTGGATAGACTAGAACAAGAAACAAAATGGCCACAGTGAAACTTACGAGATTCAAGATGGCCACCGCACGATGACAACTCCCGAGGGTCCAAAGTGGAGAGAGTGCAGCGAGCATGGCTTTGTCAGCCGCGGCGCAAGGCAAAGCAAATGCAGGGGAAAATACAGGGAGTAATATCGAGAGGCCTAATGGCAAACTAAAGCAAGGAAATATAGGAGAAACTACAGGGCGTAAAATCCAGAGGCCTATTGGAAAATGAGTACCTGTAAGGATAAAATTATTTTTAAGTATTATTTATGTGTTGTTTCTAATTATTGTAGCTGAGGTTCATAAGAGGGGAGTTTGGATTTATTGAGATGCAATCTCTTCCTTGTCCTCACCCCACACCCCCCTTTTTTTTTGCATCGAAAGGGTGTTTTTTTTCTGGACACCAGGTAATTAGTGGTAAGAGGAGGGGTGGGGCTTTCCTCCCTCTCCTCCCACAAGTCCTTTATATGTTCCATGAAGGGTTTGTTTCATTTTTGTTAATAATGCATTAAGGTGAATGCAACACACGTCCAGAGCGCTTCCAGGTTGTATAACTAGTTTTCATCACCGTCCCCTTCTTACATGTGTAAAGATCCAAGATTTAGAATTTTGTGATTTCTTTTTTCTTTTGTAGTATAGATGATCCTCAACCGGTCCCTCTCTCCAACAGCAGCAAGCATCAATGGGAGTGGAGACAACCGGTCTCACTCCCCAGCGGCAGTGTAACCAGCAGGGAGAGGAGACAACTGGTCCCTCTCTCCAACCACAGCCAGAGTTACAGAGAGAGGTGACAACTGGCCCTTCTCCCCAACAGAAGCAGAAAGCACTGGGAGTGGAGACAACCGGTCTCACTTCCCAACAGCAGCAGGCATCCTTGGGAGTGGAGACAACCGGTCTCACTCCCCAGTAGCAGCAGGCATCACTGAAGAAGCCACTAGTGTGGTTGGTCAAAACTTTACCCCGGTGGCGATTTGGCTGTATTTGTGGGATCTGAGTGCTATTTGCGTATGTTGGGCAATCAGATCCAAGCTATCTGGGGATATAGGACTTGAGGGGGACCCTTGTATATTTTGTGTGTTTTGTGTTTTAAAAATTGTACC